CGGAACTGTGTTGTGGGATGATGGGAGATGAATTCCCAGCAGTGGCTGGAAGGGGAATCTGTGGGGTCGGGAGCATTCAGGGATCCAGGAACGCTTTGGGGGGCCTCGAACGGGCGCTGAGGGGGCACTCGGGGATCCTGAAGGGTCTGGGGGACACATGGGACCTATGGGGGGCGATCCCGGGGTTCTGGGGAGCGCAGGGCATATTCCCAGTTCCTCACAGCCTGGTCTCAATTGCCCCCTGGAGGCTCCTACTGACTGCCAGTCTGATCCCAGTATGATCCCAGTATGATGTCAGTACACACCCAGTGCAATCTCAGCCACTGCCAGGATGATCCCAGTCCAAACCAGTCCCTGCCAGTGCTGCCACTCCTGGGATCCCCCAGCGCTCTCTGTGTTCCCCCCTCCCACATCTCCCCAGAGGAGCCCCAAGGGCTGGCAGTCCCCAGCCAGGGTCCCCAGCCAGCCCCAGGTTGGATCTGCAGCCCCCAATTTTCCCAGTTTCCCTCTCCTTTTCCCCGGGCCGGGTTCCCCCCGTCCCCAGCGGGTGGGAGCAGCGGAGAGCCCCGCGCTGCCCATCCCGACCTGTCCCGGCTCCATCCCCGCTCCTGCCGTGGGCTGTGAGGGGTTTGGGAACGGGGCACCGAGGGTGTCGCTGCTCCTGGGGGAGGAGGAGGAGGGATGGAAGAGGAGGGATGAAGAAGGAGAGAGAGAAGGGATGGAAGTAGCAGATGGAGCTGGTGTTACGGAGAAGGAGGAGGAGGGATGGAAGAGGAGTAAGAGGAAGAGGAGGGACAAAGGAGGATCAGGGAAAGGAGAAGGAACCATGAGGTTGAGCACTCCCTGAATTCACACCCCCATCCTAGAGGTGACTGGGGAGGGGGAGCTTGGCCCAGATATCTAGGGAGGACCCTGGGTTGAGTTTTTTTGGGGGGATGTTTGGAGAATTAATAGTTCCAAAGCTGAGCGGAAAATGCCCATTGGGGCAACATTGGGGGTTCCCAGTGGCAGCTGCTGGCAGAGGCAGCCTGGAGGAGCAGAGCTCTGTGACCCACAGGACCCCAAAGTGGGGAGCCCAGAGAGGGGGAGCGCCACGATTCATGGAACCCTCAACAGCCTGGAGAGCGGCAGCAGGGAGTCCTTGGACCCCCTGCACCCTAAAGCAGAGAATAAAAGGAGAAGCGACACTGGAACCCCACCCCCGCCCTCCCCATCTCTAAGTGTTGAGGTGAATATGGGGAAAATTTTCAGATCCCTGGGAAACCCAGCAGCCTGAGGAGGGCAGGGACCGAGTGGATGGGGGACCCCAAGTACAAGAGTGAAGCCCAGCAGGTGGGACAGGGGGGAACCCCTGAACACCAAAGAGGAAAGACCAGAGATGGGGAACTCCTTGGAGGCATTTTCAGGGCTGACTGGGAGGTTGTTTATGGACTCCAGATGTCCGGTGACTTCTAGAGATGGGCAGAAGGAATCTAACCCAACGTTCTTGTGCATTGTATTTTTCCCCAAACCAGGATTTCCCATTCCCAAACCTTGGCCAGATGGAGAAGGAGGCTGCTGTGAGGAAGAGGAAGATGCCCCAGGACACCCAGGCAGGTGAGGAGGAAGTCAGTGCCCCTTTCCCCCTCTCTCCTGCTCCATCTCCCAGCCCAGCCTGGCCCCCGGCTGCAGGACAACCCCGCTGCCGACGCCGTCCTGCCGGGGACGCACTGGGGGGATCTCCTTCCCCTTCCCTCTGGCACGGAGGCAAATCCCATCCTCTCCTTGTCCTTCCTCCCCCAGACAAGGAGCTGAGGATGGAGACCAGGGAGGACAAATCCCCACAGGAGAAGCTCATGGAAGAGGCCGTTTTGAGCAGCTCCACAGTGCAGGAATCTAATGGGGAGGAAAAGCTTCCGAGATCCCACAGGAGGAGGGGCTCCAAACCCATCCCAGGGTGCTCTGAGGAGGAAGGACCCACCCTGTGCTGGGAAGGCGGCTGGAGATCCAGCCAGGCCTCTGAGCTGGTGGTCCATGAGCAGCTTCAGGATGGGGAGAAGCCCTACAAGTGCTTGGAGTGTGGGAAGAGCTTCAGCCAGAGCAACAGCCTGATCTGCCACCAGATGATCCACACTGGGGAATGGGCCTACGAGTGTGAGCAATGTGGGAAGGGCTTCAGCTGCAACTCCAAACTCATCATTCACCAGCGCATCCACACTGGGGAGAGGCCCTACGAGTGTCTCGAGTGTGGGAAGAGTTTTCAGACCAGCTCCACTCTCCTCAGGCACCAGCGGATTCACAGAGATGAGAGGCCCTTCCGCTGCCCCGACTGTGGGGAGGGCTTCAAGCGAAACTCCCACCTTGTTAGGCACCGGCACATCCACACCGGGGAGAGGCCCTACGAGTGTCCCGAGTGTGGGAAGAGGTTTCAGAGCAGCTCCAATCTCCTCCAGCACCAGCGGATGCACATGGATGAGAGACCCTTCCGCTGCCCCGAGTGCAGGAAGGGCTTCAAGCACAACTCCACCCTCATCAGGCACCGGCGCATCCACACTGGGGAGAGGCCCTATGAGTGTGGGGAATGTGGGAAGAGCTTCAGCCGGAACTCCAGCCTGATCTGCCACCAGAGGATCCACACCGGGGAACAGGCCTATGAGTGTGAGAAATGTGGGATGACCTTCAGCCGGAGGTCCCATCTGACCATCCACCAGATGATCCACACTGGGGAGAGTCCCTATGAGTGTCCCGAGTGTGGGAAGAGGTTTCAGACCAGC